GAGCAGGAATATTTATATCAGCTGGGGATTGATCCAGATTCTGTTTAGCTTTAGTCCCCTGTTTCAGAAACAATAATGTTATGAATAATCCTTTTATGTTCATACATCTTGTATAAATATCTGAAACGTGTAGAAAACCAAGGAGAGGAGGGAATTCATTAAGGTGGACGAGGGGAATGTGGCTCTGAGGAGCAAGGGGCTGCTTAGGAGAGTTTAAATTTGTTTATCCCATTACTTTTTCTTTAGAAAGAAACCAGGGGAAACTAAATCTAACCAAATTTTTCTGAACAATGGTGGGTATTAGTTTGTGGAAACATATTCCTGAGGAGCTCATGGGAGCATTAGTGTGTTAGTTCAGCTGCCCTAAAATATTTTTCTTCCGTGTTTTACTGCAAAATTCCTGATCAGGCAGGTCCAAAGTCTGGAATCAACAGTAATTTTTCAATAGAGTTCCATGGATTTACAGGCAGGCCCCATATGCTCATTATTTAAAATAAATGAAGGGAAAAAATAGTGAATCAAAATGTGACAGGAGCAGCGACTTTTGGAAAATCCCCCTAATTTTAAAGAGACCTTCGAGCCAACTTTTGAAGACAAAACAGGGCATGCATTGAATTTTCAGCTCAATGACATCACGTCACCCTGATTTCATCTGGTCCCCGCATGTTCTTGGTGGAGTGTAACTCGATGCAGCTCCGTCCAGCTCGTGGCACGCTGTGATTTATTACAATTTAAATGATAAAGCACCCAAGAATGTTCAGGCAATTGGATTAGCCCATTGACTGAATGTGCAGACAGCTATTTTTAGGAAAGAGGTGTCAGTTTGTGCAATATTAGATGGCCTGATCTGTTTTTTACTGAGAGGGCAGGGGAATTTCCCTCCTCACATGGTTCTGATGTTACCTCTGTGTCCTGCTCTTTTTAAGTGGAGATCTGAATGCCACAAGATTTTATTCATCAAAAGTGAGCCCAAGTTCTTGCCATCCTCTGCTGAGTCTTCTGAGAGAGGCTGGCAGGATAAACCAAACCCAAAATTTTGCCTGCAGTTTACAGAGACTCGGGACACGGATTTTGGTGTTCCCACATTCTGTAGGGATGGCTCAGCAATGACAATTTATGAGGAGCAGGACTAGAACACATGCAAGTCTCTGGATGCCAAGTTCTTGATTCACACCATCCCATCCTCATAAATTATCAGGTGGATCCTCCGAGCTGGAAGCTGCTGGACCCACAGCTCCAGACAGACAGGAAACGGAAAAAAAAAATTGATGCTCCTGTCTTTTGTTTGACAAATATTTTAGGATAAGGCTCCGAGCCAAAGCAAAAAATAACCCTGAAACTGGAATAATTCATGAACAACGTGGCACCACAATAAAAGGTTCGTGTTAGTGCAGTGGATTCTTTAATTCAGCCAAGAGGAGAAAGTGCTAAAATCAACACAAAGGGATCCCATTAGGAGATGAAAGGCTTGTTGCAATCCCTTTGGTTTACTCAGCTGGGTCACTTTAGGAGCACTGAGTGCTCAGGTGTGGCCTAATTCTCCTTTTCTTGTGTTCCTAAGAGGGGCAGGGGCTGAGGGCGTGTTTAGGTGGGAAGGGAATTCGAGATGTGTATTTTGAAGGAGGGCATTAACCATTCTGGCCACCCTACACCGAACTGCTCCCATTCCTCGGGACACAAAGCAGGGAAAGGGCCTCGATGGCTGCAAAAATTTGTTCCTTTCTCGACAGCAAACTCTTCATTTCACATGAAAGCATCAGCAGCTTCTGGGAAACAGATTAAATCTAGTTCCAAACTTCCTCTTGATATGGATAAAAAATGTCTAGGAGGGCTGGCTGGACTGATCCCAGCAGGAACGAGACCTCCTGCTGCTGAGCTCTTGGTTCAGTGTTTTAACATCTGATCTTACTGTCCCTGGGTCAAAATGATGCCTGGTGCAATTCTGACAATGACATTAGGGTCAGCTTAGGAAAGAATTCCTTCCAGTGTACATGTGGGTTTTGAGTCCACCACAGTCCAGCTCTTAGGAGCAAGGCAAGGCTTGCAGAAGGCAGCAGATAGAGAGAAAAGTCAAAATTTAGAAACAGATTCATTTAAAAATAGAAAAGAGCAGGTTTAAGTGCTCATTCTTTTAAACATCTCTATTTTTTGCATCTGCTCTAGTAGCAAAAATATTTGGGTTTATGGAAGAAACATGGAGGCACCACCAATGCTGAGGATTTCAGGGATTAATTGCTTAGACATTGCTAATTGTGAGGGGAGGGGAGTCACCAGAGAGCTTTACCTTTGTCTTCTGTTTTAGCAGCCAGCAGGGAAAAGCTGAAAGGAAAGGATATGAAAGGATATTCTGGCCCATGTGATGTAAAAATAGGGGCAGGCTGCTATCAAAATCAGGAATTCCCTCATGGAATTGCCCTCCTGGTTAATCCCCCAGCTGCAGCTTCCAAACCCCTCTGGGCTGGGCTTTCCTGGGCCTTCTGGCAGGATTTTCATGAAATATAAAAGTCCATGAAGGTAATTCTGCAGTCAGTGGTAGAGATGGAGCTGTGAAGTGCAGGGATCCCAAAAGAGCCAGTGCTCCCCATGGCAAACCCTGTCTTTATTCCAGGGAATTCCCTGATCCTGATATTCCCAGCCCCACCTCACTCTCTATTTATCTACAATGAGGCCTGGCTGGATGTGAGGCAGAATTTAATGATAGAGGAAAATAAGTGCAGAGTGAGGGGTTTATAATGATCTATTAAAAAAAATAAATAAATTAGGAAGCAGGACTTCTGCAGCTTTTGAATCTTGAGGTCAAAACAACCTGAGCATCTCAAGAAGTCCTGATTAAGCCAAGATTTGCCAGTGCAATTTTTCCTGTGTGACTTTTCTTCTGACTAAGGTGAGTTAACAGAGGAAGAGCTTTCCTAAAGGCTGTGCAAGCTGCCAAATGCAGCACACTCAGCTCCAAACACCCAAAAACTGCTTGAAGGGTGGGAGTCAACAACTTTCAGTGCACTCAGAGCTGCTGAGGGCACAGCTTGATCCCCCCACTGCTCCATTACCTATACTGGAGGTGTCTTCTCAGGCACAGATGGAAAAGGCTGAAAAGGAAATATTTGAAAACGGAGGGTGCATTAGAGGAGTGATTGCAGCACGGTGATTTATAGCTGCAGTAATGGACTGGGGCTCAGCGAGCTGAAATCCAATTATCAGCCCTGCCATCTCAGGCAAAATGCTTAAGCCAAACTTTCTAATCGGTGCTTTTAGGTTTGGGTTGGTTTTCAGAGGTGCTCAGCGCTTCCTCACCCCACAAAAATAACATATCCTTCTGCAAAGCAAACCCTCAGCATGGAAAGGCAGTTTTCCCTTCCCCGTCCAGGAGGAAAAAATAGATTAAAAAAAACCCTAAAAGAACCCATTAAATTAGATTATAGTTGATACTACTGTGCTTGATAAATATTTTCAATAACTGGGTTGAAAATCAGTAATCTTACTCCATGTTATCAGGAAAATCAAAGTGAGGAAAAGAGGTTAAAAATGGCAAAAATGAGGGATGTGATTCTCTTCCTGTGTGGATCAGGATCAGGGTCAGGAACATTTCCATACCCACCTCACAAAGGCACTTGTGAGAGTTAATTGGGAACTCTGCAGAAAGTGGCTGGAGCTCCACAGATGAAGCTGCTGTGGAAGGGCTCCATTATTAAATAATGAGGGGCCATCACATGTGAACAAAACACACTTAGATGTTTCTAAGATATAGATTTCTTAGATATGTTTTAGAACAATGTGTTGTTTTCCAGCAGCCTCATCCATTCCAGCCTGCAGAGGATCAAACATTTCCCAGAATATTTTGTCTTTTTATTTCTGAGACTGCAGCATTGTTATTTCTTTTCGGGGTACTGAAACAAAAAAAAAAAAAGGGGATTTTGGTTAAAAAAAAAAAAAAAAAAAAAAAAAGGGATTTGGTTTAAAAAAAAAAAAAAAAAAGAAGAAGGGAAGGTTTCACACAGCATGTGCCAAAGGAACAAAACCTCTCCCTCGACATCTGTCCCTGAACAACAGAGGAGACCTTGGGTTTCATATCTCAGCTGAAGAGATAAATGTGGAAACACCTCCCCCACTGTCCCACTGCAGTGTGGTGGCCGGCCTGGGACAGATCCCTCGGGACAAAGAGCTGCTGGAAGCTTGGCTTTTGCCACTGGAGTCTCCTCTTCACACCTGCACAGATCCTCCACACAACAGACAGAGGCTGTGCTTTGGTGGGCTGGAATCTGGGGAGAATTCCTCCTCAAATATCCCAAAATACAGGCTGGGGGAACGGGAGCAATTTTATTTGCCTTGGCAGTGCCAGCTCGTGTGCCATGGCTGTAAGGGAAAGGAGCATTTGGCTGCCTGAGGAATATGGGGACCTCAGATTCTCCTTGAATATTTCTAGCAACTGAACAAAAATGTTGTGTTTCTTCTGGGTTTTGATCACTATTTTTAAGTGGTCTGTTCATGTATTCCAAAAGGAATGGGATGATGATGTAAAGACACCAAGAAGGACACCACTCATTCAAAACCAGGGCTTCCCTCCTGCTACAGTTTTGCTGCAGCATCTTCCAAAATCCACATTATCCCCCAAAACTACACACAGAAGGTCAGGCCATGTGAAAAAGAGCAAAGGGGGATAAAGGAGAACAGGAATTATACCAAAGCTGTGCTGTTATCTCTGAATTATCCATCAAACAGCGGAGAGAAATATCCAGATTTCAGGATTTTTTTCCCCCTATTTGGGCCTTCAACAGTGAGATGCAACAAGCAGACACTGGTGGAGTGAAAACACAATTCAATGGAAAGGCAGATTTTGTGTGTGAGGTGCTCCACGAGCCCACCAACCCTCTTCCCAAGCTGGCATCCAAACCCCAGGAAGAAGGCAGCCCCAACCACTCCATGCAGGGAAGGAGATGCTCTGCAAGCCCTGGTGGGAAGGGGAGAAAGGGGTGAGCAAAAGAGACAAACACACTTCAAGTAACTGATTCACAGAGGTGCCATTTACTGGATTCCTTGTGGAAAACCGAGTTCTTTGCATGTTCAGACATGATACAAGCACACCAAAGCAAAACCAAAGTCCACTGATTAATTCGTGATCCTTTCCACACCTCGTGGCCTGTTCTGGAGGAGCTGGAATCCAGGTGAGTGGGACTTTATCCACAAACAAGTTCGTGCACCGAGAGGACTCTTCTCAATCCTCAGCATTTCTGATGCTTCACAGCATTTCTTGCATAATTCATCCTAAAAGTGAAGCTACCAGCAGGGCAGTCAAGTGAGAAGGGTGCAGTGGCCTGGGAGCACCAGGCACAGCTTCCAGGGAAAGTTCAGCTTCTTGGAGCAGCCAGAGGGAGCAGTTTGGAGATTCTCTCAGCTTCTCCTCCTTGCCCTCCTGTCCACCTTGCAGAGGGATGCCACAGCACAGAGCACCAGGGCTGGGTCAGTGTTGGTGCCTGGCAGGAGCAGCCATGGAATAAACTCGATTTATTCAGCAGCAAGGAATAAACTCAGCCAGAGCTCATCCACTCCTTGTCCATCAGATCCTCCAGCTGCTGGTGGGACACGCCTGGCTGGAAGGGTGGTGTGAGAGGCACACACTGCACAGCAGAGCCTCTGTTCGTCCTTCCATCCCTCCCTCCCTCCCTCCCACACCCAAAAACCAGACATTTCTATCAGATTCACCACCAGCCCACTGCTGAGACACTGCTGTAGGTGGAGCTCTGCGAGTCGAGGCAGCAAATAAATTATTCTGGAAGTGTCAGACATTTCAGCCCAGGAGATTATAGATTCATTGACTGCAGTGTGGGAAGAGCTGTTAAATAAAAACAATTGCAAGCAGGCTCACCAAGGAAAGCAGAGATTCCTCTTTCATCTTGGAAATTATACATATATATTTTTTTTAAATTGGTTGGAATGCCCTCATATATTCAAATACAGTGCCAGAGCATTGGGTGAACGACAGAAAAACAGAAGAGAAAAAAGGCATGACTTGTTCACAGCAGTACCATGGATTTCATTGTTACACGTGGGGGCACACCAGAAGGTCTCCTGGCATGTCAGAACCTCATTCCCAACCAGGAAGGTTCCAGAGAGGAAGAATTTGTGCTTAAAGAACAGCAGCCCTGTAAACCAGGAGACAGAAACATCGTGATGTGATTTGCATTCTTGGCCAAAGCCCTTTGGGTGTCTTTTCCCCTCCTATCCTCTCCTTTTTCCTTCTACAAATGAGTCTCCACCTCTTTTTGGGCAGGGAAAAATCTGTTTCCATGTTCTAGGGATAGTTTCAGGGGAGCCTGGAGGTTTTTCCCCTCCATGCATAAAAACAATCCCAAACTCTCAGACCTTACCCCACTGCAGGACTTGTGTGGGTTATCCATGGAGTAAAAAGCACCAAAACTGTAACACAGGAGGAAAGTTCAGTCTGGGCGCAGAGTAAAAAACAGAATTATTGCTGAATCCAAGACTGATGCACATCCCCTTCCGTTATTTAAAGCAGGAGATTTTTAAGTGGCTGGCGAAGTCAAATTTTCAGCCATTCCTTTGTTTGGCAGAGGGAGAAGGAACCCCAAATATATCAACCACAGAGGCAGTGAATGGGAGTTTGCAAATGCCTCTCGTGAACTTGGGATGCATTCAGATCAAAGGAGCATAATGAGATATTCTGAATAATACAGAGAGATATTCTGAGCAATATTTGATGCACCTAATTACTGAGAACGTGCCTCCCTGAGTTTTCCAGGAGCAGGATCAATGCCCTGCAGGTCCTTGCCCATGGATAGGATCTGTGGATTGCTAACCTGGATTCAGCTCAGGAGCATCAGCAGCTACTGATTCCAGGTAAAAAAAAAAAAAAAAACCTCATGAATCCAAAGGGAAAATATATTTGCATGGCATGAGAGCTGTAGCCATCCTACTGAAGACCTAAATCCACAGATGATGATGGAGCTCTTCCCAGTTTGGTTTTGGCCTTGGAATGAGAGCCCAGGTTAAACCAGAGATCCCAAACCTCCTCTGGACTTGGCCACACATTTCTCAATGCCCAAAAAAAAGCTGAAACCAGCCAATCCAGGACCCCAATTAGCTCTGTAAATAAAGAACTTGGACTCCAGCACTCATCCAGCAGCTCCAAATGCCAGCCCCATCCCAATCAACCCAAGAGAGGCTCCTGGCTGAAAATTTAATCTTTTAAATGGATCCCTCGTAACAGATCTGGCTTTTCCTCTGCTATTGACTAATATCGAAAATTCCAGCTATGCATATTCATTTCCTCTAAATACCTGATCCCCTTCCATGGAAAATATTATCTTGAGGAAGAGCCCAATTAAATTGTGCAACTCTTTGCAACCTCTGGTGTTACAGTATCAGGTGGGGAAGCAGCAGCAATGCTGGAAAACACAGGATCTTCGGGAAACCCCACGCATTATTAGGTTTGATGAGCTCCATTTTCTTGATGGCTTCTGAAAGATCTTTGTGCTAATTAGCTAAGAATACCACTGAATTATTTAATTATCTCTACTTTTGTGCCATAAAATATGTTGTCATATCACACTCTGTCTTGCTGTTGCTCTTCATACTTAATGATGCCTTTAGAGTTCCTGATTTCCTTTGTTCTCCCTCTGCAAGTGGTTTTTGGTGGGGCTGGGGAAGGAGGGGAGAGCGCAGAGGGGAGGCCAAGGGAAAAAAAAATCTCAGGTTTTAAAGAAATTTTGACGTGTGGGAAAATCTTTACACATGCTCAGCTCCAGCTCCCTGTGCCATACACAAAGCGTGTCTCAAAGCTGTATATTTATTGCTTATCCAACCAGGAATTCTTTCCAGAGGGGGAAAAAAAAAAAAAAAAGGGAGAAAACACCATTTGGAAAAAAAAAGAAAAAATTAAAAATCGGCAAGGAATGCCTTTTTTTTTACCAAGGAAGAGGTAAATTATGATAATTACTCTGACTGGTAGGGTCCTTAAGCATTACTAATTAGCATTTATTGCCTGGATTATTGAAACAATGTGTGTGTTCCCAAGAGTGAGGAAGAACTGGGATGCTCTTTCCTTGGGAGCCCTGGGAAAAAGGCAGGGCAGCAGGAATGCGGCACAGTTGGCACCGAGGCTCCTCTCCCCGAGCTCCAGCCTCGTGCAGAACTGGAATTGTACCTTTGGGAAACCCACGCCTTGAACTCCTCAACCCTGCCTGCCTTCCCCCCTCCTCTCGCTCACGGAGAAGGGAACAAAATTTAGGGTGGAAAAAGGAGAAAAAATTAAAAAATCCGAATGGTTTGGCAGTGGTTGGAGGTGCACATGAACGTGGAGTTCACGCTCTGGGAATTGCAGTGTCTCCTGGTATTCCAGGGATTGTGCACAAAACTCCTATGAAAAAGCATTTCATTGCTCTAAAGCACTGAGGTATGGCCAAGCAATTCCTTACAGAGGAATTAAAGGGTTAACAAATCAAACAAAAAATAGGAATACTATGGTATTTCCAACTGGCATTTTGACTGACTTTGCAATCAGATTTTGGCATAAACTGCATTTTAATATCGAGCATTTATAATGTGATTTAGGTTAGGAATTAGAAATCGATCAGGAATTAATCAATCATCTAATCAGCACTGGCCACTACACAGCATCTCAACTGCAATTTGCTATCTGGCCCAATAAATCCTTAAGTACCTTGGAAATGATTCAGGGAAGAAAGGCAGTAAAAGTATTCTCTTTTTTTTTTTTTTTTTTTTTTGTAGCTGCAGCACTGTGCAACTTTAGGTCCTGTTAAACCCCTGGAAATAAAAGAGCAACAATGGAAAACTGCAGAATGCCTCGGACCTTTTATTTTTACCTTTTCCTGCCACCAAACCCTGTGCCTTTCAACTTGGGAGAGCAAGTTCCAACTCAGCCACAACGAGGTCAAAGTCACCGAGCTCAAATCTCCAGTTGCTGCTCGGACAAAACTCCCAGACACCAGAGTTTTGCAGAAGTTACAATATATTTTTTGTTAAAAAATAACCATATTTTAAAAAATCCCACGCCTCATTTGCTTATCTTTCTCCTTCGTAATTATTTGCATCACGTATTGCACAGAATATTTAGCAATGCTTTATATTAAATATAGTGGCAGCATATTAGATATACTTTTTGATTGAAACTTGTTCCAGCCTGGTGGTTTTTATTTTAGGGCTGAAAAAGATCTGCAATCCTTATTAAGCTTTACTTATTCTATTTATTGATTAAATTAATGCCTAATATTTATTTTCCTTGTATGAGAAAAAAACAACCTTTTTGTCCACAGATTTGTTTTTTTTTTTTCCTAATGAAAACATAACATCATGGAAATTGATGAAATTGTTATTAGAAAAACTCTGTAACACTAAAAGAAGCAAGCCTTGGATCAAAAGGAATAAGACAAAATGGGGGGGCCCAAGCGCAATATCCCTCCTTTTGTCTGCGGAAGGTGAAAATCGCTGCAGGAATGGTTGTGGATGAGCTCTGCCTGCTCGAACAGGAACGATCCCGGCTGCCTGTTCCTACCGGGGCTGAGTTTCACCCGCGCTGACATTTCTGCAGCCGCCGGGCTGAGAATCGCCCCGAACCTGGAATTCTGCAGCGCGGAGGCGCAGAAGGCAAAGGAAAAGGGTGTGGGGGGCTGTTCTATTCCAGCCGCTATTCCCTCCTTTCCTCCTCGCCTTTCCCCGTGGAAAATCACCCTCGGGGGGCAGCGCGGGATTCTCTCTCCCTTCTTATTTCCATCCCCTCCGCTCATTTTTTTTTTTTTTTTGGGGGGGCTGAGCGCTCTGTCTGTCCCTTTAAACCCCAGCCGCGGAATTGATGCGTCTGGACCGGGAGCTGCTCCCGGTTCCGCCTGCGCGGAGCCCCCGCGGGCTCCGTCCCCCTTTTCCCAAACCATCCCTCCCCGCCCATTGTTTTGCCGCAGCCCCGCGCAACCCCCGCCCCGCACCGCGGACACAATAGCGACCCCCGGGGAGGGGACAGCGGGGACATCGCGGGGGCTCCCAACGCGGGGACCCCCCCCTGGAAGCGCAGGGATGCGCGGAGATGCGCGGGGGATCCGCCGCAGCCTCGCAGACAAAGCGCTTTTCCCCCTTTCCCTCCCGGCGGTTAAAAGGTTGGGGAAAGGGGGGAAAAGCGCCCCAAAAAAAGCGGTTTTTTTTTTGTTTTTTGGTTTTTTTTTTGCGGGTGTGGTAATGGCTGGACAAAGGTGCGGGGCTGCAGCGCTCCGGGTTCCAAGCAGGTAACAGAAAATAAATGCGGCTCGCTTTGGAATTAAAGAACGTTTGGAATAATGTAGAAATTCAGAAGGACAAGGCTTTCGTGGCTTTTTTTTTTTTTTTTTTTTTTTTTTCTCCCCCCTTTCCCTCCCGGGGGTTAAAAGGTTGGGGAAAGGGGGAAAAGCGCCCCAAAAAAAGCGTTTTTTTTTTTTTTTTTTGTTTATTTTTTGCGGGTGTGGTAATGGCTGGACAAAGGTGCGGGGCTGCAGCGCTCCGGGTTCCAAGCAGGTAACAGAAAATAAATGCGGCTCGCTTTGGAATTAAAGAACGTTTGGAATAATGTAGAAATTCAGAAGGACAAGGCTTTCGTGGCTTTTTTTTTTTTTTTTTTGGTTCCTCCCCCCCCCTCGCGCTGAGGTAAAACGCTCAGTGAAATTACAGTGGCAAGAAAAAGCAGCTAAAATTAATTTTAAAAAAAAAAATCAAAACCAACCAAACAAAATCCCAAAAAAGCCTTGGCTCTCACCATCTCCTTTGGCCTCAGGTCACTATGACTAATCTAGATAATGATACCCCCCTCGCGCTGAGGTAAAACGCTCAGTGAAATTACAGTGGCAAGAAAAAGCAGCTAAAATTAATTAAAAAAAAAAAATCAAAATCAAACAAGCAACCTTTTCCAGTTCAATAACTGTTAAACAACAGGAACCAGCAAACATATCCTAAAGCTCTTAAATAGCAAAATGTTACACCGTCAATTAATTTTTGGTGCATCGTTTTAAGTTCAAGCATTTGCATTCAAATATCAAACAGTAATTCGGTGCCATAACAAGGTACAGTAACTTCATTATAAATTGCCTTGCAGAACAGAGATAAGAAATACAGTTCCAACCATAATTAATTTTACAGCAACATAAAAAAAATCTAATAAAGAAAAACAGCAGCAGCAGGAAACAATTTGAACATTTCTGATTCATCATTTACATATCATATAGCCCGGAAAAGCAGCAAAGCTGGAAGTTCTAGAAAAGGACTCGAAGAAAACTTCAGCATTTCTTTTTACTTTCCAACCATTAATACATGCAACCATTTTATTCTGCACTTTATTTTCCCAACCTACAAAATCCAACCCATCTCCTGGCTTTTTATTTTTATTTTTTTTCTATCTCCTTTTTTTTTTTTTTTTTTTTTTTAACCTTTTTTTTTTTTTTTTTTTTTTTTTCGGTGTGTCCATAGAGCACATTTCCAAGATTAATCGTTCAGTTTTAAACTTGGAAGCATGAGGCATGCTGGGATTTCAGCTGAGGTCAAGCACCAATGTACCGAGCTGTTACTGTTACGCTCTCAGGGTACTCTGTGTTGCTCTCAAGAAGGGGAGGAAGGCAAAAAAAATAAATCAAAAAATCAAAAACGAGATGCTCTATGCAGTGGCCTGCTGCAAAAAAATCTCCCTCTTTTACCACAGGCGTGGTATTAATATTCCTCCATATTGAAGTATCTGTATTTATGGTTTAATTCGGCTGTATTAATTAATACGTCTGTGGATCGCCACGCACACCTCAAGAACTGTATTTACATCCATATCATGTATATCTTATCTACACACGCATATATAATAATCACTCTGTGTGTACACACATACACCCCCATATCTGGATCAGCTGGAAAATTATCTCGTGAATATACACACACACATTAAAAAAGAAAAAAAAAATGAGGAAAAAAAAATCTCAGCGGTACGAACGCTGATTTTAATTTGATTTTTATACAGAAAATGGCCATAACCACCGCCCTACATCAGCCGATGGAGCCTAAGGAGGAGAAATACACTTATTTTTTCCTTAAAAGGTCTCTAAACACTATTGTATGTGTGTGTATACGGCTCTAAATATACACACCCGCGCTCACACATATACACATTGAGAGAGGATATATTTCTAAAATAAAATAAAGATGTCAAAGCACAACTCACAGCTCCCAAGAGCCTAACCCGTGGATTTAAAAGCTAAACATCACAAGTTAGGGTCTCAGGGATTGAGAGGGGCGCAACAAACTAGTCCTTGCAAAAAAGAAATTTAAAAAAATAAAAATAAAAATACCAAAACCAACGGGGATCAAAAAATAATAATCATTAAAAAAAAGATCAAAAGGAGAAAGAGGAAAAGAATAGCAGGCAAGTTCAATTCATGGCTCAAGATTACAAAACAGGACACACAGGTGGAAGGAAAGAGCTTCTCTAAGGACCCTCTGTTGAGAGAATACATTCCATTTTTAATCGTTTATACAAAAAAAAAAAAAATGACATGGCGCGGCAGGTTCCTTACAGCTCCCAACAAGGTCGCTTGCGACAAATACACGAAAAGTCTCCGCATTTAAATAACGAAGAGGAAGTTTGGGGCAGTGACGGAATTATTTTCATTGTTTCAACGAGAAGGAATGCAGAAATAAGAGCAGGAATCTGCAGGCTCGCTCCCGGCCCCTGGCACAAAGCGTGCAGCAGCAGCAGCAAGGCGCTGCCTCCCCGCCCCCTCCGCCAGCCCCGGGGATGGAGAAAAACCCCGAGTCGCCACAAAACCAGGTAGAAACTCACCATTTGGAAGCGGGGGAGGCTCCGGTCGGCGGCGCTGGGAAGGGCCGGGGGGGCCGGGGCAGTGCCCACAGCAGGCTGGGTGCCCGGCGGGGTTTGACACCCGAGCGGGTGCGAGCGTGCGGTGTGTGCGCAGCCGGGGGAGGGAGGCGGCCGAGGGAGGGCGGGTGTGTGCAGCTGGGCAAGCCGCTTGCATTTTTAAAACATCCCTCTCTTTTTTTTTTTTTTTTTTTAAAGGAAAAGGAACCGAATTCCTCCGCAGCTCCTCTCGCCTGCCGCCCTCCGCGCTGCCCGGCAATGCCGCTGCCGCCGCTGCTGCTGTTGTTATTATTATTATGATGAAGAGACGGGGCTGGGGGGCTGCGGGAGCCGGGGCCAGCCCGGTGCCGGAGCGAGCCCCAGACTGTCAGCGGGGAGGAGGAGGAGGAGGAGGAGGAGGAGGTGGAGGAGGAGGAGGAGGGAGGAAGGGCGCGGGCAGCAGCGCCGCAGCCCCGGCCGCCCTCCCCTGCCAGCCGCCGGCCGGGGCTTCAAAGGAAAACCTGGAGAAAAAGCGGCTCGCCCGGGAGAGGAGGGTGCGAGCCCCGCGCACACACAGCACACACACACACACACACAAAGGGACTCCATCCTGCACCGACTCCTCTCTCCGAGCACCTTGTGCACCCCCAGCCAATGGAAATTTACGCCGGCCATAACCCAGAGCAGGATTTCGTCCCCAGCTTGCCACCTCCTTCCCTCCGCTCTTCTCCCCCTTCCCTCCCTCCCTTTCCTCCCTCTTCCCCCC